AGTTTGTCGACAGTATCCGGTCATGTGACCTCTTTGTTCAGTACTGTATATATATATATATATATCCGTGTCAGGGTAAATTATTTGTACCTGATGATGACAAAACCATGTAGAAACTTTGTACATTTTCTGTTATGTTAAACTTATATTAAAGTTTTTCTTCATTACCCATTCAAGCCGTCTCCTACCATTATTAGTCTTAAAGTGGGTTCCTCGTCATCGAATTTGAAACTATCCTTATGTTAATTTCTGAAAACTTATGTGCTTCACTAACTTCTAACTAATTTTCTTTTTTTTTGGGAGGTGGAGAAGGAAGAATGTGAGGGCGAAGAAGCGTTAATCACCACACTCACTAGTTAGCTAACAGTTCTTGTGGCACTTTTACTGTAGTAGCTTTATTGACGCCTTTAATATATTTACATTACACCACTTTTAAGGTGTATATATTGTGAGTTCATATGGAAAATAAAGTATACAGTGTATATATATTAACGTCTTGGGGCATATACGTGTAGCGTTACCCACAGGTATTCAGATTTCACGTAGTTGAAGTAACAAATACGTGTATGCTGCATTAATTCTGTGATATGTGTTGTCTCTTTTATAGTTAATGAATTAGGACAAAACGACGCAATACATGACCTATGACCTTATCATAACGGATTTTATGCCAAAAGCACAAGTATATGCGACATGACCTATGACCTTATCGTAACGGATTCTAAGCCAAAAAGGAAGTTATGAAAATTACTCCGAACTATAACATTGTCTGTGTAGATTCATGATGTCAGAAAAATACGAAGGTTCAAGAAGTATTAATATAAGATTATAACTACTCCATAACCCGAGCACTCTCTAAAGGTGGGCATTTTTTTTTCTTCAGCTTGCCCCCTGAAGAAGGTCTACCTTTCGAAAGGGCTCGGGTTATGTTTTTTTTTTTTTTACTATGTCTTCTGTGCAAATGCGTTTTTCAGTGTTAACGATACTTAAACATTTACATTGGAAAGCCTACGTTTATAGCATACTGTTAGTTAACCGACGAATAACAACTCTTAATTGGCAACATCAATTTCTCACAGTTATTAGCATAAAGGGACAAAAATTACATAAGTCATTTTTTATCTAAACACGTATAAAAGGTTTTCTGTCCTTTTTTTGTATCTTTTATCTAATCAATAGGCCCCCAGTGGCACAGCGGTATGTCTGCGGACTTACAAAGCTAGAATCCGAGTTTCGATACCCGTGGTGGGCAGAGCAAAGATAGCCTATTCTATAGCTTTGTGCTTAATTACAAACAAACAAATCTAAATAATAGCAATAATAATCAAAGCATGTTTAAAATGTTTCCTGTTCTTTTTATCTAAACAATAGCGATTGCAGAAAAAATAAGGGATTGACATTTTAGCATAGTGTAATATGTAATTTTAATATTTAGTTACTATGATACGCGTTATTATATATAGGTCCAACATAAATAATTATATGTAATTTCTATCTAAAAAAACCAACAACAAATGAATAAATATAACTTTTTCTTTGTGGCTGATCCACAAGAATTATAAATATTAAAAAATTTTCCTTCCAGGTCGGTACAACTCCTACTGTGAGGTAAAGGGAAATATTTGGAAAGGTGGAGACAGGGCCTGGGTTACATACAATCCGAGGTATATGAATGGCATAAGAGTATACGAATATATGGTGAGTTAGGTTTCAGTTTTAGTTTTCTGTCAGAGGTTCTGCTAAACACTGGACAGGATGTTGCATGCTAAAATTAAGTTACAGCATGAAATATAACCATAAACTCTTTTATGTGTATCGTATTAGTTGATAACATTTTTGATATTTAATTAAAATAGAGTTTATACACAAAAAATACTTCTTCCCTCAGAAGCCTTACTTTTAAACTCGATTTCTAACATCCAGCAAATCAATCTTTTATCACCAATATCGCTGAAAATTATGTATAAATATTTATAGCTATGATTTTATGGATAACTGTGCTATTGAAATATCAGTAATGTAAAGTTTTATCGACTTATCAAAGCAACTAATTATAACTTGTACGTATTTTTTCCAGCGTGATAGTAAATCACTCAAGAAGATCCAAATACCTACAGTATTGACAGATATGACCAAAATGATATGGCTGGAACGAGTAACCGAAGTTCTGGCTGACCAAATGGACCAACAAGAAATGTGTCCATTGGACATGAAGGCTCACACAGATCCGATTCTCTTAATGATCGGCGATCTGGCAAGGCAGCTGGAAGATAATTTAAAAAATTCTGTAAAAGCAGAGATGTCTGAATGGCAACAATCTCAGTTGAACAACGTATGTAGAAATAATCAGATAAATTGTTTGTTTGTTGAATTTCGCGCAAGGTTACTCGAGAGCTATCCATCCCTAAATTTTGAAGAGATAGACAAAAAAAAAGCAACTAGTCAACACCACTCACTGCTAACTCTTGGGCTACTCTTAACAGACTGAACAGTGGGATTTGACCGTCACTTTTATAACGCATCCATGGCTCCAAATTGCGAAGTTCAATTTAATTTATTGTAATAACGGGAAGCGAACCGCGGAACCTCAAATCCACAGTCTGGCAGTCTAACCATCTGTGATTGGCTCAATTTTTAGAAGTAAATACTGTTGTACCGCTACTATGATAACAAAAATAAAAATGGCGACAATCACAAGGTTAACGTTTCAGTTCATTTTGCTTCTTTTTTTTCAAGAATTCGATTTGTGATTCGATTTTATGGAAACTGTTTTCCCCCCTTTTTAATTTTGAAGCCCCCCATTGGCACAGCGGTATGTCTGCAGACTTACAACGCTAGAAACCGGATTTCGGTACTCGTGGTGGGCAGAGCACAGATAGCCCATTGTGTAGCTTTGTACTTAACTTAAAACAAACCATTAATTTGGAAATTTGATTATAATTTTGTTTTGTTTTTAATTTACCGTATTGCCCCCTAATTAACCCCACCGTGGGCGTAGCAAACTGCAAAGGGGGAGCGCTAATCATAGTATTTGTGCCGCTCCGGATTCTATTTTTTACGTGTGATTTGTTGATTTCAATGCTAATAAGTGTGTGTGTTTGCTTTTCTTCTTCTTTTTTCAAATCAAAATTCTGGTAATAAAAGTGGATTATATGTTGGATTACTATTGCTGTCACACAAAGTAAGCTTTGTAAAAATACCGGGGTGGGGGCATAATTAGAGAAGGAGCGTTAATTCGGGGCAATACGGTATAAGTTTTATAATGTGATTTTGATTTATCAGTTTTATTCTGATTTGTAGGTTATCTTTTGTTTGTTTATTTCCAAAATCAACCGTAACACAGAAAAACTACATACAACTGCTGTATCACGATATTTACAAACACTATCTAAGTGAGTTTTCATGAAAAAGTAGAATTATGCTTGTTTGTGTTTTTAAGCACAATGGACTAAATTCACAGTGCCCACTATGGGTATCGAACACCGAATTTTAGCGTATGACCCCCCAATCTTACCTTTTAGACAATTGGAGGTAGCAAAACTATAATTGGAAGGAAATACTTTTACCTGGTTCTGACTGAAGAGATGTCACTGGTACCCTTTGCTTCTTCTCACAGTTAGGATACTTAATCAAACTGCTTAAAACTTCGGACAAATAGCATTTAGTTTTAATTTAAAAACATTCATAAAACTTGCTTTACTAACGATCATTTTTAGGTTGTAAAATTTTCAAGATTTTGTTGTGAGACACCATTTTGAAAAAATAAAATAAAATACTTCTTTTCATATTGGAATTTCGTTTTGTTTATCGATGAGTTATGAATAGATGTACTTCCGCAGGGTCCCCGAAAGTGTTCTGTTTCAAAATAAAAATTAAGAGTAACAAATATTTTTATTTCTTGCTTTTGAAGCTCATATGTCATGCTGTGTTGTAATCTACAGAGTGCATAATTCGTCTCCTGAATTCATAGCATGAGCAGGTTTTATTGATGTCACGACAGTACAAATTGCGAAATTAAGTATCCCTTATGAGACGTCATTTTAGTGTCTGCTGACTGACTGACAGTAGTTAAAATATGTGATTCCTGCAGGCTGTCTTCCGCCTTCTTTCGAGGAAATTACTACTGTCAGAATAAGTCATGTTGACTTTCTCTATGATAAAATAAAATAGCACAAAAATCATGGCCAGGTGGTTAGGGCGCTCGACTCCCAACCTGCGGGTTCGAATCCCTGTCCCACCAAACATGCTCGCCCTTTCAGTCGTGGGGGCGTTATAACGTGCGGTCAATCCTACTATTCGTTGGTAAAAGAGTAGCCCAAGAGTTGGTTATGGATGGTGATGACTAGCTGCCTTCCCTCTAGTTTTACATTGTTAAATTAGAAATGGCTAGCGCAGATAGCCCTCGTGTAGCTTTGGGCGAAATTTCAAAGAAACCCAAACTCAAGTACAAAAATACACAGTACTTTGCTTCTTCATGTTCAGAGGCGTGCTGACTCATTTAGATGCCGCTGTGTTTTGTATGAGGTGGAGGCCTCCTGTTCTCATATGATAGCTATTTTACGCGTATGTAGACTACATGAGGGATATTGATACTATATTGATAATGATATGTATTTGAAGCTATTTGACGATTTCTCTCTGAAACCTGATTTTAAACGGTGCGATCCCAATGAGCGCTAGCTTGAAAAAGCCATATCACTGAAGACCGATTCCTTGTGAACAACCGTGCTTTTGTGTTCCGCAATTCGTTGGCTAATGTGTTTGCAGTCTTGAGAACCGACAACAAAGCGAATGTCATGAGTTATTGAGAAGACGAGGCACACGCTGCAATATAAAGTTTGCCCCATTTCATTGAATGCCAACCATTTTCGCACTGTAGTTGATTTTTGGTTTCTTGCTGGCGAGAGCCTTTCGGTAATAATTGGAATGTGAGAATGGATGAAATCTCAAAAACGCTGCAATGTGTTCCTGGATTTGGTTTTGCAAAAAAATTTGGCGGAGTTTCATCTTCAACCAAGCCCGCATTAAGATAGCATGAGGCCCCTTGAATAGTTAATTGTAATTAATACATATTAAGTTAATTACATAATATGATCTAATTATTCAAAGTAAGTTAGAATATGATGCACCCAACTTTTAAGGATGATATATTGAATTAAACGATTATAATAATAATAATTATTTACTTGTACAATATGGCAAGTAAGAATGAATTAGGTATATAAAAACAATATAGTTATTGTACAACATTACGGAAACATGCCAAAACATTACCCTAAAATCGTTTTTTTCCTTGCTTTGGCGGAAGCAAAATCTCTAATTACATCTTCATAATCTATTTGCCTAAGCAATGTCCTTTCTATCGTGAACAAGGAAAGGGCATTTAAGCGTTCATTTAACATCGAAGCATGCAATTCACTTTTTACTCTAGTCATTTTAGAAAAAGCTCTCTCTGCACTGCAATTCGTGGCCGGTAGGCACAAGTATATTTTTAATGCCACGTCAGCATTAGGAAAAACAGATTTGAATTTATTTTTTCTGATTGCTTTGATGCATTGTTGGGCGGATGGTGTTCCACTATCAAGAAATTTCTCAAACTGTACCATTTCATCTGAAGAAGAGCTGTCTAGATCTGGAGAGTATGTCTTCCAATCTTTTAGCTGCAGCAAAAATTTCCGTCTCATTTAAATTTTTGAAATTAGATAGAAAACCAAACTTTATTTCTGTCGCTTTATATGCACCAAGCCGATTTTTCAAACACATTTGTAACTTGTCAACTACCGGTGTAAAGACTTCAAACTACCCCCTCCCTTTCAAGTTATTTCCCGGTAATCTGAAATTTCTATTTCACACTACCCCTGCACTGTTCAGATTACCCCACTTGCTGATTTAGCTGAAATGATAAATTCTTATGCTTACAACTAATGATAAATTTATTGAATGAAACACGTGAAACATACAAGATTGAAAGCTAGTCTCAATATCTGAAAAAATAAAAAATGTCACAAAAATGTTAATTATATTAAAACCACTCATACACTAGTTCAAAGTGCATGACATATTACATACAAAGATTCAACCTAATTGGAGAAATCCAGAAGAAAAAATCACAATAATTACAAGAGTGAATATTCATTAGGGATACAGAATTAGAACTAAATTTTGAATTAAAAATACAGTCCACTCTTTAACTCAACAAAAAGTAACAATAACAAAAACTTAACAAATTGCAGGCTCAAAATAGTGTGACAAATTGCTGATCATAGTAACTTATTATTATTTGTTGTCAGTTTATTTGTGTTTATGCATGAAATTAGTATCTAAATAAATATAAATAAATAAATGTTTTGAGGGGGTAATCTGAAATCGAAGGTGTAGGATGAAATCACCTT